TTTCTTGTTTTCTCCCAGGACCTCACATTAATATACTATAAAATAGAATCCAACTTTAAAAGTTCCACAATCTTAAACAAATTCCAATGATTTAAAAGTTCAATGTCTCTTTAAAAATCCAAAGTCTCTTAACTTGTAAAATAAAAAACAAGTTGCATGCTTTCTTACTCCAAAAGTGAAGAACCAGGGCACAGTGTGAATCAAATCCTGTAGCTAAATGTCAAACATCTTGTACACACTCATCTCGTGGGTTCCAAATGTCTTGGGCAGCTCCACTTCTCTGGCTCTACCATCTGCAGCAAACACAGCTTGTTTCATAGACTTAAACTGCCACTGTCCTTGGTGGTTGTCCCACAGTCCTGGCATCTCCAATATCTATCATCTATCTATCTATCTATCTATCTATCTACCTCCCTCTCTCTCTCTCTATCTCTTTCTCTCTATCTTCTGTCTATCTGTCTATCTGTCTGATCACTGAAACTGAGGCCATACCTTTACCAACAGCCTTCCCTGGGATCTCTTCAGGGACTTCAACCCTGCCTCATGGTGCTGAGCCTCAGCTTCTCTCCACGACCCCTTCAGTCTTTCAGCGTTCATGCTACCCAAACCAGTACCATGTGGAAGACCTTTACACCACATGGAAGACTCTTATACCACGTGGAAGACTCTTACACTACATGGAAGACTCTTACACATTACCAAGTTCAGCTGCCAGCTTGAGATGCAAACTTGGCCGCCTCTAGGCCAGAAGATTTCACCTCAGAGATGCTGGTTTCTTATTAATCACAAATGATTTTTAAGCCCTAGCTAACCAGTATCTATTGTCCCAGTGAAACACAGGTTTCACGTCCACAGATTAATTCAAATATATCATAGGAATGGTTATGGCAGAGTCATTGTTTCCCTCTGAAACCTCACAAGCTCGGCTTCCATCATCTTTTCTTTCAGCATTCTTATCTTCCAAGCTCCCACAAAACAGCCCATGAAGCTCAATGGCTTTTTTCCAGTCCAGAATTCCAAATGCTTCAGCAATCCTCCCCCAAATCAACATAGTAAGATCCATCATAGCAAGAGTCCACCCTCTGGTACAAATTTGTGGTGTTTTTTTTTTTTTTTTATTGGTTTACAGGCTGCAGGCTATCATTGAGAGAAGCCAAAAAGCAGGAACTCAAGGCAGGAGCTTGAAGTAGAGACCACAAAGGAACACTGCTTACTGGCTTCTTCCAGACTCAGTTCAAGCCACCTTTCTTGTATAACCAAGTCCCCCCTAAGTAAGGAAAGTATGTGAACTTCGCTCTCTTACATCAATTAACAAGAAAATGCCACACAGATCAATCTGATCTAATGAATCCCCCAACTGAAACTCTCTTCTCTGGTGACTATGAACAGTGTCATGCTGAAATAAAAACCAACCAGGACAGACACTATACACAAGAGAACCTGAATGAATACTGTTGATGAAGATTGAGACTTTAAAAAGTTCTTCATAATTCTTCCAAGTGCACATATAGCTTGTCTCATAGACTTAAGTTGGCTCCATTCCACATCATTTAGCAACTATGTGGGTGCAAACGTGTATGTGCGTATGTGTGTGTGTGTGCGTGTGTGTGTGTGTGTGTGTGTGTGTGTGTGTGTGTGTGGAGACCAGAGGTTAAACTCAGGTCTTTAGTTGCTGTCTACCTTGATTTTTTTCAGTCAGGATATTTTACCATCCTGAGACTTGCCGATTTGACTGGGCTGGCTGGTCAACCAGTCCCAGGATGCTCCTCTCTCTGCCTTCCCAGTGCTAGGGTTACAAGTGTATCTCACCACACCTGGCTTTTACATGGGAGTGAACTCAGGTCCTCATGCTTATTAGGCAAGCACTTTACTGACTGACCAGTCTCCATAGTCCAGTCCTGCACAATTCTTAACAGGATGTTGTGTGTATACGGGATTCTCTGTATATTGGGTGGATAAGTTTATCTGATTTTGGATTTTAATTCACTGGATTTCACTTTTTTAATCTATAAGATCAGATGTTTGAACTCAATTTTGTCTTTTTTGACTATAAATTTCTAAAAATTCTGAAATGTGGGGATGGCTAACATATTAAGTCCTCACTATGTGTGACCAGATATATTTCATAATTAATTTATTTATTAATCATAGTGAGACTATATGTAAATAACATCCTAGTTTTATAGATGAAGAAACTAAGGCCCAGACAGGCACAATAACTCGCCTGTGATCACACAGCTGTGACGGGGAAGAGTGAGAAGGCAAAGCAGAGCCCCACAGACACCAACGTACATTCCCCCTCCTTCATCCTGCTTCATCGCTCTGCTCCTCAAACCTCAGCCTTGCCCATCCTGTCTTTCCTCTAAATGGACTGGCTCGGGCTTAACAATGTCAGAAAAAAATTCTAAGGTTATTAGATCAGAAATCTGTCTCCAGCAGCCCCTCCTCGGCAGACACACTTTTGACTGCCTTTAATTCGTCATTCATTAAGCCTGGAGGAATGGCAAGAGAGACATCTTTGACTTTGCCGGAGCCTGAAGAACAAAGTTATTGCCTATTCTCAATGCAAGTAGTTGGGCTTTGCCTGGTTTTGAGTCTGGCAAAGGTTCAGAGCTTTGCATATTCTATGAAGTCATTGCCCATTCCTGTCAGGAGATCAGTGAATTTTGAAAGAGATTCCAGGGGTGATGGGTGAGTCACAGACGCCTGGACTCCATAGAGCCTTGCTGGCACAAGGCAGTGACCAGATAAAACTCTGCAGTTTCCTTGTGTTACATGGATTCTTGCCATAAGCACTACATGACTGGGGGCGATGGTCAGGAGGACATGATGGAAAGGACAACAGATAGCTTTAGAAAGACATTTAGAGGTCTGTTCATGGGTGTTTCTTGAGGTGGTTCTGACTTTCTTTAAGTCACTGTCAAATATTATGACACCATCAAGTGTAGAAAGTACTTTATTCCAGTTCACAAGCTCAACTGTGTCATTTCCCTTCTCTGACCTTCAGTTTTCTCTCAGGTAAGACAGGAGGAAACTCAGTAGGTCAGACTGAGGTGAGAACAGAATGAGATACTGTTTAACATGTATGAAGTTGCCACAGAGTGAACACTCCAGAAGTTGTATAGTCAAATGTGTGTGGGTTCATATATGTGAGCATGTGGAGGTCAGGTCAGAGTTTGACACTGAGCGTCATCCCCAGTTACTCTCAACCTTGTATTTTGAGACAGGGTCTCTCACTGAATCTGGAGCTCACCAGTTAATTCAATTACTCGGGCCAGCAAATCCCTGGGATCTTCCCTCCCTCTTGTTTCCACATCCCCTGCACTGGAATGATAGACATGAGCCACCATGTCTGGCTTTTATCTAACATGAGGATCCAACTCAGCTTCTCTTGGCCACATGGCAAGCATTTTACTGACTGGGCCATCTCTAGTTATAGGAATTTTTAAAGATCAAAATGCTCTGTTTGGGGGAAACCTTCAAAATCCTTTGAATTTTTAAATGTGTCATCATCTTTTTGGATAACCGAGGGCACTAAAGACTAGACAGGTGGAATTAAACCACTACTTTCTGACCAGTAATGGCAGAAGCACGGTGAGAATTTACGTCTCTTGATATGTAAATGATCATTTCCCTTCACCCCACCTGGACCAGCTGGAGAATTCTCCAGCTTCCTTTTCTTGATAATTCATCTGGCCTGAGATGAATGGAAGACAGGGAGTCAGACAATTAGACAGTTGGGTGTATAACTCTTGGTTGACTCCCCAGGACACCAGGTCAGAAAGACCACTGGTGATGCTTTATGGGACTCTTGCTTCATGACCTCATACTATCCGTGTGTCATTATTTCATCCTGGGAGAAGGTGGGACTGCCAGCCTGCTCTAGAGGGTCTTTGGGAGACAAGAAGCCTCCTTCCGGTTGCCTCCTGGCCTTCTGGATCTGGTTTTATTCCTACAGGAGGCTGATGCTGCCGACCTGGTGCAGAGTTCAGAAGCAAGATGGGCTCACCTGAGAAGACACTGGCTTCTGTGATCAAAACATCAGAACCCTGGAAGTCATTATAAAGTTTCACCAAAGTAGTAGAGGAAGTACCATTGAAGTCCAAGTTCTTGAAAACAAACCAAAGTCATGAAAAATGTTTCAAATTTTGGATCTATTTTCAAACCTTATCCACATCATGGTGTCAGCTGAGTTCATGGCAGCAAAGACAGGTCCTGCCATTGAGTTGGACCACAGTAAAGGGGCCACCACTGTCTGCTAATGCTGCCTCCCCATGGGGACCCTCTCAGGGCAATGTCCCCTTTGCTTACATTTACTGTCTGGCTGCCACGTCACCTCAAGACATGCACCAGGCTTGATAAAAACCTGCCATTAAAACATTGTTACCATGGCTGATAAGATATGTAGGGACTGTTTATCTGACAACTTGTATATTAAATTTGATGATTTGTGTTATTTGTTATAGCTGTCTGTGTGTATTTGTGTGCATAACCTGGATTTATAGACAGGTGTGTGTGTGTGTGTGTGTGTGTGTGTGTGTGTGTGTGTGTGTGTATGAATGTATGTGTGTGTGGTATATGTTTATGTATGTGTGTGTTTATGTAGGTGTGTATATTTGTGTGTATGTATATGTGTGTGGTATATGCTTATGTACGTGTGTATGTGTGTGTTTATGTAGGTGTGTATATGTGTTTATATGTGTGTGTGTACATCACACAGTTTCTCAAGACTGAATCCTTATTTACTCTATAAATACATATTAGTGGTAATATATGTCATATACTTGTATTTAGCTAATAATGTCCTCAAAACTTCTCCAACATCATCAATTGGCATGGGAGTTTTGGAAGAATATTAAGCTCTTTTTAAAAATATATTTTATGTGAGTTTATTAACTTATATAGGAATGAGTACCCAGTGCCTAGCTCTGTGCTGTGACTCAGCGCCCATCTTATCAGATCGTGCCACACCCATAGTCACTGCTAGCATTCGCTCATGCCTCCACTCTCAGCCTTTTGGCTAAGATCAAGTGTAGTATCTGTTCTTATCAGTTTAATATTAAGCTCTTTTTAAGTAAATTTGATAGAAGTAGATTCTCTGCTTAAAGTTAAAATATTTTCTTTGAAATTATAAGAACATTATGTCCAAAGCACAGGCTTCCTTGCAAAGAGAAATCTAGGGGGACTATGTTTATTTAAGTGGTAACAACTAGATTCGTTTTTAAAAAAATATTCATTTATTATTTTTATGTGTATGAGTGTATTGCCTGCATGTATGTGAGTGCACCCGTGTTGTGCAAGGCCACAGAGGTCAGAAGAGGGCTTCAGATTCCCCTGGAACTGGAGTTAAGGACAGTTCGTAGCTTCCATGTGGGTGCTGGCTCGAACCAGGGTCCTCTGCAAGAGCAGTTAGTGCTCTTAACCGCTGAGCCATCTCTCCAGCCCCAACAACTAGATTCTTGTGATTGCCAAAATTCAGGTGTTCCATTCATACAGTGGTGATTTTTCAAAAAGAAATTATTTTCCCTGGTAGCCATTGCCTCCTATAAATTCATTTAACTTTTTAAAGGAACTTGATTAGACAAATGAACTGATAGCTGTTTCACAAGGGGTAGGACTATAAATTTTACAGTGATGTATAAATTTGTTTCTTTGGAAATACAAAGGAATTTCTGTATTCAATTGAAAGGGTCAAACATCCCATAGTTTCAAGAGAATTATAGGAGAGATGAGAAATAAAAGCTATGTAAAGGATAGCAGTTTATCAAAACATATGCTTTTAAAAGATATTTATTTAATTATCTTTATTTATGTGTATGTGCAACATGTATCTGTGTGTGGGTGCTGGGAAGCAAACTGGGGTGCTCTGGAAGAGCAGCGAGTGCTCTTAACTACTGAACCATCTCTCCAGCCTTAACAAATTTGTAATCAATGAATTTACTGAGTACTTATTAGCCGCTGGGCAGTATGCTTTGTTCCTTGATCTATCTATTGCTTGACTTGAATCTCATGGTCTCACAATGCAGTAGATACTGTTCCAGCTTCTTCTTAGCAGGTGAAGAAAGTTAAGAGAGAGAAGGTGACAGCTTGCTCACTGTTACATAGATCGTCAAGTGACAAAACCGGACTGTCTTCAGAGCACATCCTTTCCTGTGACAGAAAGAACAGACGAGAGGTGCATCACCCAATTCTAACACCCAAGGTTAGCCACTAACTGGTTGAGTCACCTTGGGCCACACTATGTATTCAGCATTGCTGTATTACAGACTGCTTGGCTGGAGGACAACTCTATATGGATTAGGAATGATGCCAACAGAGTCACTGTGTGGCACTGCATCAAGAGATCTGCATTAACTCATCAATGAGGACAGGGGTGTGCTGGTAAATGTATAGCAAAGGGTTTAGGGGGTTGGGGTGGAAAATCTTCCTGATTTATCTATAGTGTTCACTGATTCCTGTGGTATATATACCACCTCTGTAGAGAATTTTAATGAGGTATAATGGAATGTCTGGTGGTAAAGACAGGCACAGTATCAACTCACAAGCAACAGGCTCTTACTCCTATTTACCAAAATTAGACTTATTTTCATCCTCTATACCAAGTATGCACCTTGGTTTTTAGAGAATGCGTGAGACCCGGCAAGGTATAAATGATCATGATGCAGTTGACTAATAATGCCTACAAGTATAGTCTTCACAGCACTGCGCAAGATGTAATACAACGTAGTGACCTACTGTACACAACGTGTTTGACCCTGAACACAACGTAGTGACCTACTGTAAGGGACTGGGAGACATAGCAACACAGTGTAGAAGGACTCACATCATTCATTAGAGTGCTGACAAGTTTGAATCAATGTGTAATGCTTCATTTTATTGCAGTCACATACTGTCCTGGGCACATTCAATATGTGGAATGTTGTATTGAACAGGCCTGTGACATAGTAATAGAAAGATGCAGAAAGGGTAGAGGAGTCGTGCAAATGTCAAGTCAATGCCAAGGAAAAAGTCAACTTTATGCTAAAAATGAGAACTCGACCTATTGGCAATATAAAAGAATATGGTCATGGCAAGTAATACGAAGAGTGTCTAGATGAAAACTGGAAAACTTTAAGCGCTGTCTTGCAAGTAGTCAATGTTCGACATACACTTGCTGTGGTTATTATTGTGGTGATTTATGATATAATGTCAGAGGAACTATGGTCTTTAGATTTTTGTAGACATTGTGTTTACATGAAAAATACACACAGAAATAGTGCAAAATAGACTCAAAATAGAGTCTGATCCCAGTTTTGCAAGACATAGCTCAGTTTGAGAAGCAGAGAATTATGTGAAATATCAGTATTTCTTTATAAATACATAGTTATTTTTAGATTAAAAATTGGATGTATATGCGTGTATCTATGTGTATATAGATAAATGTAGGTGCCTGCAGAGGCCAGAGGCGTCAGATCCCCTAGAGCTGAACTTACAGACTGTTATGAGCCACCTGATGTGGATACTGGGAACTGAACTCATGTCCTCGGCAAGAGTAGTCCATGTTCTTAACCTAAACTCAGCCATCTCCCAAGCCCTGAAAGTATTTCATTTTATTATTAAAAATAACTTATTTCAATTTAAAAACAAAGCATAACTATATAAATATGTTTTTCCTTGCCTTCGTACAAGAAAAGCTGGTATCTGCTGAGGTGTTTCAACACACACCTATTGAGTCTACTCGTCGGTGGTTTTGTTAATAACTATTTGGGTGATAACATGGCACATGCCTGGATACTATTTAGAGTGTTTCTACTCCTTTCTCAAGCTGCAAGCCTGAGAAACACAGCAGGCATAGAGAAGGAGAAACAAAGCTAGAAGGAAGCACACAGATTGCTTTATATACATTTGACATGTTTTATTTTAAACTGCTTTATATCTAAAGTATACCTCCTTAGACTGCCACATACATTTCCTACTTCTATCTCTGTCTTTCTGCTGGGATATTTATAGTATTTCCATTCAATATGATTATTTATGTGCATTTCCTATTTGTCCTATTGGTGCTTTTTTTCTTTGCAATTATTCATTGACTTTGTGCGCTGGAGGAGGGCATGTACCACAGCACATGTGTGGCGATAAGAGAATCACTTTTGGAAGTCAGTCATCTCCTTTTACCATGTGGGTTTCTGGTATTGAACATAGGTTATCAGCTTTGGCAGTACGTATCTTTACTCGCTAAGCCATCTCACTGAGTTCTTTCCTTCCCTTTACACTAATTTGTTTAATGATTCTGTTATTTTCACTATTTACTGATAAGCTCTTGGTCTCTGTTCTCATCTCTACATTAGCGTTTGCTCTAGGATTTACAAAATGGATTTTCAGCTTCTCCTGCTCTCTTTGTACATCAGTGTACTTGGAGACAGAAGTCTCATGTTCCTTTGTTTTTGAACTATGAAAGTATAAAGCAAATAGGTATATAAATCAATTGAAATTAGTAAGATTTAGAAATAAAAATCCAAACAATAAATCTGTAGCTAGGATAGACTGTGGGCTTACTTTCGTTGTGGGGGTATGTACACTGTCTCTGAATAGACACTTTGTACAATTTACTGTAAGAAATTCTCTTCCTTTTTCTTCAATGGCTTGGAGAAACCCGATGACATAACAGGAAGAACAGGAGCTGCTGGTGACCTGGGTTTCAGTTGCATGACTTTAGAATTTGCAAGCCTCTGTTTCCTCCTCTGTAAGCAGTGATTGCATCCACTGTCAGGAATTTTATGAAAACTTTGTTGTGTCATATGTGTGAATGCCCTGGTACATGCTTAGTGAATGACATCATCTTTCATGTACCTTTCTTTAGTAACTTTTAGATAAGCCCCTTTGGTCAAACTTATCTTGGAGATAAAACAAATTCTGATTTTTCCCATCCATTCCCCAGTGCCGTTCTTTACCAAAACCCAGAGTCAGGATTCATATCCTGTCTCTGACAGCTACTGTATGAATTAGGCAAATCACAAAATTTTGACCCTTCATTTTTCTTCTGTGAAATGAAGATAATTTCATCATAACTTTCAAAAAATGTTTGTGAGAATGAGAAAAAGTCATTTTAAAGTGGTTCTATACATTATGTCACTTGTTCAAATAGAATGTGTCATTATTCAAATAGAAACTTGTGTGTACCTGTGTGCAGCGTATGCATGTGCATACATATTTGAATGTGCACAAGCATATGTGTCCATGCCCATGCATGTATGTATATTCAAGTGTGCATGAGTGTGTATGTGTGTGCATATGCACATGCACTTGTGTGCACATGAGTAGGAAGGCCAGAGGTCAATTTTGAATGTTTTTCCTGAAAACACTATTCATCTGTTTTTTTGTTTTGGTTTTTGTTTTTTTTGAGACAGGATCTCACCCTATTCCAGATGTCACTGATTCAGCAAGGCTGGTTGGACAGTGAGCCCCAGGGATCTGCCTGTCTCTGTGATTTCAGGCACATGTCACCATGAGTAGTTTTCTTTTTCCCTGTGGGTTCTGAGGATTGAACTCAGGTCCTAGTACGTGCATGACAATCACTTTACTGACTGAACAATCTCCTCAGCCCCAAATAGAAATTAATACTGACAGTGAGGATGATAAATACTGGGGTTTGTTGGCATGTATGTACCCAAAAGATGGCTTTGAAGTTAAAGTGCTTGTGGTACAAGCAAGAGGACTGGAGTTTGGGATCCTCAGAATTACAGTGGGAAGTGGCAGCCTACCTGTAAATCCAGCCTTGGAAGGCAGAGACAAGCTGGGGTAGACGAGCTACAGAGACTAGCCGTAGCAGGTGCTCTGAGTCTGAATGAGAGACCCTTCCTCAAAACAAGAATAAGGTAGAAAGCTGCTGAAGATGTAACCCTGGAGCTCTACACTCATAGACACACATGCACTCACACAGGACCATGCAAACACACGCAGGTGCAGACATATACCAGAAACACATTTCATGAAAAGAAAG